GATTGTAAATGTGAACAACTGATGCCAGATGATACAGATTAAAATGAGAATGCAAGATAGATGGAAATGGGGGAACCTCTGCCTACTTTAAAGAGAAAAACTAAATTTTGATACAGAGTACAAATATTAAATTATTATAAAACTTGTACATCTGTAAACACTGTTGAACTATTTTTGTGATTTTCATCTCCATGTTTATTTTAATTTCACTTATTTCTTGATGAATAGAAATTATTTTCTGCATTTATTTCTCGGCTGTTGGAGCCAAATTTTCCTACAAAAACTCGCCATTATAATTTTGTCCTCTAATACAGAAGACATAATAATTCCTTAGATGTTTTGAGAAAAATTTCACTTACCAAGATCAGTTTAAAAATGATTCTTATTGGTACCTGAGAAATTATTGTTTCTTAATAGAGAAAAATAAGATACAGATTAGGAATAATTACAGATAAGGTCTATGTTATGTAACATTGTATATTTTAATTCTGAGTTCAAATTGTAATAAAGTAGTACTACAGATATTTCAGACATGGGAATGGAACAAACCAAAACCTGCCTATAATAAATTTAATGAAGATAAACTGGAAATCTAAATAAATATAAGGCAGAATGTGCTCACTGCTACAAAATGCTTATGGAGGACAAGAAGACAGGTTAATATTTTCTTAGGGAGAAAAGGTACTGGAATTTTGTTTTCTGGAAAATATTGCAGCATCTCTATTGGACTTTGAAGAATGAAGACATTATTTAAGGAAGTAAGCTTGTTGGCACTGGAGTTGAGCTGTGAAGAAAGTGTAATGATTGGAGGCATAGGGACAGAAGAGTGGGAGGCACAGAAGTCGGAGAGCTGGAGCAGACCCTTTGGGCTGGGGTGCAGGCTGAGGTTCTGTGCTCCTAAAAGAGGCAAAGGAAAAGGTTTGGAGTTTGTCATGTAACCATACAAAACAAAAAACAAAACAAAAAAAATTGAGTAGGACAGTAAGAGATAATAGGATCTTTTAGGAAGCTTAATTTAGTAATAACATCTGGGATAAATTAGGGGGAAGTAGAGATTAAATGGAGGTAGCTAGTAAGGATATTTCTGAAAGGTCCCATGCTAGTGCTGATGAATGCTTCAGGGGATGCAGTGACATTGTAAGTGAATAGTGTTCCCTGGGAACCCTGTAAAGGATGAAAAGTTCAGAGAGAGAGTAAACTAGGGAATATTTGTTGAGGGATGATGACTTTGCATATGAAGAGTTTGAAGTTCTGGCATGGAAATATCTTCAGGGCAAATGGAAAAGTGGAATGGCTCAAAAATAAAAAGTAAAATATTAACTTGGAAGTCAGATAAAGGTAGAAGATGAATGACTGTGGGGGAAATGGAGACCTCTGAAAGAGAGGTGCCTGAGCATCTAAAGAAACAAATAGAAACTAAGGAAATAACCTTTATTTAAGCTTTTTCTTGTTCTGACTCAGTGTCATACATAACCCTTAATTAGTTTTTTTGGAATAAATCTAGTTGTATTATCTGTTATATTTACTGTACCATATCTTCTACAGATAGATTGAAAGAAAAATAGTTCCTAGTTTTTAATTCTTACTGATTTGGTACAAAATTGAATGCCTGCTCTCATGAAAACATTAAGCTAATGGTTGCTTATTGTATTACAAAGTCATTTTTAGTAATAGTGGTTAAAAATGCTTATTTAGTGCTAGACTTTATTCTAATCACTTATTTGTTAATTTAGACCTATATTACTTTGAAGGCAGAGATTGCTGTTGCTTCATTATGATAATGAAAAGTTTATCTTAAACATATTCTTCAAAACAAGATTTTTTGGGGATACTTTTACATAGTATGAATGTAAAAAACATGGTCTGTGTGACCAGGTACTTCCTTAAAACATTTGAAGTACATTTTTATCTCTTCTGTGGTTTAAAATGCCTTCAACAGGTTGAAAGAATTTAGATAATTTGTTTTACAGAGAGATAAAGGTCTGACATTTAACACAACCCCAGGTGCATGTGGTTTCTTAAAGAATGTCAAAAAGGTCACATGATTTTAGTGTGCAAAGTCAGAAAAACAAGATCTTTTTGAGTTTCTTAAGTGAAATGGAGCATAAATAAAAAGCGTGACATTAATTAATATATATTATTTTGGTGGTTGTGTCCATTTTTGTTAATGACTGTTAATAACATCTTGTTACGTAATTTGCTTAACTCTTTGTTTTAAAGTAATTCAATCTGGAACTTAAATTTATTATTTGCATCTCAACTTTGGGAACTAAAATATAGCTCTAGGAATAGTTTAGTACTTTAATAAGTATGTTTTCAGCATTTTAAACGTTATGAGTTTATCCCAAATTCTACTGGGATGAATTTCCAGTAGAAATATAGTAATAGAAATCATTATTGTCTTTGGGAAGTTAATTCCCACTTATAATAATGTCCTTTATCAGAACCACCCAAATTAGAAGTTATATAGCTATGTCTTTCATCTCCTTTAAAAAAAAAAAAACTTGCATGTGTGGTCATTTCACATGATGTTTTACTTAAATGTATGGAATGAGCATAATGAAGACTTCTAGTTAGTTGTTGATGTTATTTCCATATTGGGTTTTTTGAACTACCGAGGCTTAGCTGTTGATCTTATTTCAGGCTGCATATTTATCATAAAGAACTCCATATTGTTTCCATTGCTTTTATTTTGACTGAAGGGGGTGGTTAAAAACTGTTATAACAAAGGAACTAACTTTTTTCTATACTGTTTCTTTAACATTATTATTGTTTAAAATTTGTTATATAAGTAGGAAGTAAATTATCTTGTGTCAACATGTAGATAAGTCTTATGAAGAAAAATTTATAAACAAGGAAATGGTGACACAGTTGACTTAAGAGGCCATGAATAAATACTCAGGAGGATGAAAGCGTCCCTTAGCTCCTCATCCCCTAACTATATCTTTACCACAACTAAAGGCCTAAAGTCACATCCTGTATAACTCAATGGGAGTTGTAGCTACCAAATTATTTCCTTGGGGGTAGATGTTTGTCGTAGTTCATGTATACCCCATGAGAGTATAATTTCACTAAATTTATTCATGAGGACAGCCTGTAAGTTAAAATATATTAGTTTTATTTTTGCAAAAAATTATAACTGTAAAAGTGGAAATAAACAGGCACCCACAGTTCTGTCATAAGTCTGTCCTGACCCTTTTCCAACTCTCACTAAGAACTACATTTGAAATATCTGAAATTTTGACTCACGTTTCTGAGGAGTTTATTAAAATTGAATTATTCATTTGGAGTTTCTATTTTTGAAGCTTAGGTCAGCTACTGACGACTCGCATAGAATATTCCCAAGAATATATAGAAGGAGTATCTTTTGAGGATGATCATAGAAAGGCAAGATTAGTTCAAATCTGAAAGTAATAGAACAAAGGAAATTATAAATATCAGAGTTGAAATTAATGAAATTGAGAATAAAAATATACAAAAAAAATCAATAAATCAAAACTGGTTCTTTGAAAAGGCAGGAAGGAGATCTGGGGATTGGGACGAGGAAAAGGGAAAGTAAACTGGAACAAGATACTACGTGTGTTTGTACCAATTCCTCACTATGAATGTATTAGTGTTTTATGGTAAGGGAACAAGGGTCATGGGTGAGGAGAAGGGGAAAGGGAAATAAGAGGAATAAAGCTAAGCCATGTACAGTAACCTAATAACTCCAGTTAATCTAAATATTGTATGTTGTAACAGGAACTAAGACAATATCAACAAGAGTGGAAAATGGGATAGGGTAACTGAAGGAGGAGGGAAGGGAAAAGAATGAAAAGAAACAGCAATATGCTATAATATGTACATGTAATCATTCCTCAAGGTGATTAAAAACTACATGAACTGTGAATGCATACAAATAAAATTTTAAAATACATAAAAATGAAAAAAGATGGATGTATTTACTGTGTATTGAAAAGTATACTACTAAAAATGCAAAAACAAGGAAATGTTGTCCTTAAATATAATTTAGTTAAAAAATATAATTGAATTAAAAATAACATTTCTAAATTCCTCCCAGAAGTTAAAAACAGAATCAAATTTAATGCAGTTTATAGTATGGTTGGTAGGTTAAACTTGAAATTTCCTATGGAGTTAGCTTTATTCTGGTTACAGGAATGTGAGCTTTTTAAAAACTAGCTTTTAGGGTAAAGCTACACTTGATAGACAACAAAGATTTCCCTAATGTGATTTTTAATTTACCATTTAAGAATTCATAGGTGGGAGAGATAGATTGGTTTGAGATGGCATTTTCTATCCATGAGACTATTGCTTAAGCACCAAGGTGAGGGGAAATTTGTTATTTATTGCAGCATCAGGTATGGGACTAAATGTATAAGGTAAGTATACCATGTGATAGGATTTTGGCATGCCCAAAAGATGAGAAGTGTAGCTTAGGTTTGGGGTGGTGCCTAAGGGGCATTAGTGATGCACAGGTAGCCCATTGGTATTCATTTCGCGCCACAGGTAAATCTGCGGGAAAAGCTGACCTCAAGATAGAGCCCCTTGGTTCTGCCTCCCAGCGCCCCCCGCCCCCCAGTGTCCCATCTGGGACAAAAACCTTTCACCATGTATATTTTCCTGTGGAAAATTTATTCACCTTCTATATAGAATTAAATACCGATGGCTATTGATGATGGGACATGATAAACTGACTTCAGATATCACTGTATATCTTAAAAATGAATTTTATTTTTTGCAGCGTTTCTGAAAACTCTGTATTTCCTGAGCAATATCTAAATTAATAAAAAGGTAGTATGTCAGTTATTCACAGAGTTTTAATGACCAGTATTAATTTAGTCTGTATTTCAGCCACAGGCTGTTTGTTCTCCAGTCAGAAAGGACCTTTGAATAGGAAGAAATGAAAAGATGCCACAGAATGCTTTATTGATCCTAAATAATACAACTTTTTATAAGTTGTTAAAATGAAAGTTTATTATTATTTTTTATTTTCTCTACAGGAACACCAGTGTATTCAGTAGCTTGGGGCCCTGATTCAGAAAAAGTTCTTTATACAGCAGGAAAGCAGCTGATTATTAAACCTCTTCAACCGAATGCTAAAGTTTTACAGGTATTTCACAGGCATTTGTAAATCGTTACCACGCTATGTCTAACTGCTAAACTGGAGGAAACTTGGCATCCCTTTCTTCTGAGTTGTTACTTCACAGTTTGAAGTTTTAAGTGTATAGTTTTATCAGCCTTATAAAGAGGCAGTATTCTGTTTTCAGTAAGATTCATATTCCTCTTATTAAAATTCATATTCTACCAGTAAATTGTAAAGATATTTTTAGTTACTAAACTGTCACATGATTTGGCACAGCTAAGCATCTTTAAATTTAGTGAGTCAGACTTGTATTTATAGATTTGAGACAAAACAGAAGTAAATCATAAAACTTATACTAAGAGTTATACTTTTTAAAAATCATCACCAGCATCATCTATTGAAGCTCTCCAAGAGCATAGCATTCTTTTAATATTTTTAGAATGGAGGAAGAGTCAATATATCGTTCAAACAAATTATGTGATACAGCTCTATGAATAATATGTGAGTATGTATCTGAAGGATGTATGTTAAGTTCATGTTTTGAGTTGTTCAGAAAGGAAGAAGAGTTAAGTTAGGAGCTGAATCTAAAAGGAAAGGAGAAAGGAAAGTATCAAATCCAGGTGCCAGGAAAATGATTAATCAAAATGATAGCAGCACTGTTTGACTAGTAAGAACATGGGCTTTGGAGTTGGTCAGCAAGGCTAAAAATCTTCACTTACTTGCCCACATGTGGTGTTAGGCAAGTTATGAAAAAATATTTGAGTGTCAGCTTTCTTGTCCATTAGTTGTTGACACCAGTACCTACTTAATAGGATTATTGTGAGGATTGCATGAGTAAAATTACGGAGTACATAAGACAGTGCCTGGCATGCAGTAAGAACTCAGTGTAGAGTAGTTATTATTGATGCTATGTTAGTATGGGTTAATTTGCCATCTGTACCTCTTGACTAGGGAAGTCAGGGGAAAAAGTGTAAAATGACGAGGCTCTGGTCCGGAAACTTGGGAATAGAGATTGACAGGATTTAGCAAACAGAAAAGTGTTTTAAAAGACGTAAGGCTCAATAGTTGAGTAGATAGTGATTTTAGCAAGTAAAGAGAGAAAACATAGAATATGATATATGTGCATTTATATATATGAATATATTTATGAATATAGTCAACATACATTTTTACCATGTAGAGAACATTGCTAGAAAAATTTGGGCAAAGAAAAGAAACTGGGAAAAAGAACTAGTTCTGGCTACCTTTACACAAAGTTCTCTGTTATCAATTCTTATGCTCGGAAAATTTTGCTAAGAAAAATAGCAAAACACAGCAATAACAGGCAAGTTGAATCTTTTAGTTTATATCTTTACAGTTATATAGACACATGTAATTAGGCTTATATAAATGAAGTTCAGGAAGCTGCTTGTATACTGATCAATCAGGAGGTAGTGTACAGTTCAGGAGATAGTAGAGATGGAAAAGTACCCATTGTGAAAGTTTAATTAGAATAAAGGAGCAATTAAAGAGCAATTAAATTAGTAACTTAGTTAATCAATAAAGGAATGCATTACTAGTTCTTTTTTTCTAGAGTTGAGTTTAGAAGTATCTGCCAAATTTCTTTTAAGATGTTCTGAATATCCAAAACCTGGTCTTATAATGAATAAGCTTTTTATTTTTTTATTCATTCAGGAAAAAATATATTGCATGCTTACTATGTATAGCACTATGCTTGGTATGAGATATTTAAAGTGAAACAGGACAGGGACTGGGAATATAGTTCTGTTGGGGAGCATGTGCTGTAGTATGTTTGAAGCTCTGGATTTGATCCCCCCCCCAACAAAAGCATGTCTTAAATTTATTTAAAGAAAAAAGAAATACAAACTCTTTCAAGCAGCTTGTTCAAAGGAAATTTATAAAATGTCTAATACATTGAGAAACAATTGAAAATTATCTATAATTACGATATGTAAATGTATACAGATACTTGTTAGCATCGTAAGTCATAAGATCATTTTAATTCATGTTTTTCATAGCTTTCAAATAATCATAACTTTATTTTGTAGCTTTAAAAGGAAACTCAAGAAACCATGTGTATGTGTGTCTAAATGTCTTTTTGCATTTGCTGTTTATCTCAGGATATTAGATTCACTTAGAAATCGTGAGAGTTTTTGCATTATTAACATGTATTATCAAAGCATTTGTGCTGGGCATGATGGTGTGTGCCTATAATCTAGGCTACACAGGAGGCTGAGGCAAGAGGATAGCAAGTTTAAAACCAGCCTGGGCAACTTTAGCAGGATTCGTTTAAATAGTTTTTAGAAATAATAAAAAGAGCTGGGGGCAGAGACTCACACATCAGTGATGAAACTGACTTGATTCTCATCGCTACAGAAATCAAAATAGACCAACCAAAAACAAAAACAAAAACAAAAACAAAGTGATGTATTTTTGTGTATTTTAAGTGAAGCAAGCTGCAAATTGTTGCTTATTCTTGGAGCTTGTTTTACCCAAATTTAATATTTTACTCTGTATACTTTAAGAACAGTAAATTGGGAAGATTATTATAAAGAGATAGTCTTTTAATCTGTCACCTTTTGATATTAAGAGGCATTGAAATGTAACTCAAAGTGTTTAAGGTATGTTGTTTTTGTTATTTTGTTCTGCTCACAGTAGCATTTAATTACATGTGTGGTAATAACTAAATGGGAACATAAATTATGTTTAAGAGCAAGACACCATGCTTGTTTCCTAGATTGCCAGTGTCTGGGTTACTTTATATATACATATATGTATAAAATATATGTGTAGAAAACATTATCTTGATGTATAATAAATGCAGCAGAAGATTTTCAGTCATCCAGTTATGAACCAGACCCAAAAAGGCAAAGACAGTGATGCTTAGGGGAATATGCAGAAATGAATAAAGAGAATATTTAAGTTGTTCATGCAGTAGGTGTTAAAAAACAAAAGTAAAAAAGAAAGTAGACTGATGGTATACCTCAGTGATAGGCATATTGAGCCTGTGTTGGGCCCTGGGTTTAATTCCCAGCACAAGAAAAGAGGGAATGAGAGGGAGATGGAGTGTGTATGTGTGTGTCTGTGTGTAGGGGAGGAACAGGCAAGAAGACAGTATCATATCAGTAATAGGATCACTTGTACAAAGGAGACAGCAAGATTTAGAGTCAACTGACATTTTGGAATATATAATATATTTATTCCAATGTTAGCACACAGATAAAAAATTTCAAATAGTTCAGCAGTATTTGGAGTCCAGCAGTATTGAGTAAGCTGCTGCATGGATGTCAAGAGCTTTCACTGTTATAAACTAGTAATGACACAAACATAAGGAATTGCACAGTGGCTATGAATATAGGATTATAGGTTACACAGTGGAATACAGGATTTTCTGAATTCATGGCAAAAAAAAAAAAAAAAAAAAACCATTAGAAAGAGATAAATGAGGTAGATGTGGCAGTGTGATTCTGAAGCTCCAGATACTCAGGAGATTGAATCACTTGAGTACACAGCCAGCCTGGGCAACATAGCAAGGATGCTGTCTCTTAATGAAAAGAGAGAGAGAAGAGAGGAGAGGAGAGGAGAGGAGAGGAGAGAGAGAGAGAGGAGGAGAGAGAAGAGAGAGAGAGAGGAGGGAAAGGGAGAGGAGAGGAGAGAGAGAGAGAAAGAGAGAGAGGAAAAAAAGGTTAGAAAATCTTCACATAAAAAAATCCTCACATTTACAATTAATTTTTGGCTCTTTTTTTCTCACAGTGGAAAGCTCATGATGGTATTATTTTGAAAGTTGATTGGAACTCAGTCAATGATCTTATTTTATCTGCTGGTGAAGACTGTAAATATAAGGTAAGTAATGTTTAGACTTACCACCTGATTGAAGGGATCAAGTTTAGCATGTATGGTTATAGTTTCAATATTTTAATTTAGTCATGTCTTTTAACTCTAGAAATTTTGCTAATTTTTTAAAATTTTAAGTGGAATTCTAATGTTCTAGGTATAAAAACTATCTTGTTGACCTATAGAATTTAATAGTCAATATGATTCAATTTAAATCAGCTCAGTTACATTTTTACTGAACAGTGATCAGTTTCAAAGCAAAATAATTTATGAGGAAGAATAAAATTTTTCTTCTCTGTTGTGGTAGGGATCAAACCTAGGACTCTGCATATGCTAAGCAAGTGCTTTCCCATTGAGGTACACCTCCAGCCCCATGACACTCAATGTAACTATAGTTGGAAGAACTAGAAATAGAAATAAATTATTTCTAATAAACTAGAAATAGAAATAAATTATTTTGGAGAAAGTTGATACAGCTTTCAGTGGACAAACAGAAATTCATGCAAGGTATTAAATATCTCAAAACCTTGCTATTAATTTAAAGCACTCGGGGCTGGGGGTTTAGCTCAGCGGCATAAGCACCTGCCTTGCAAGCAGGCGGTCGTGAGTTCGATCCCCGGTACCGATAAAAATGAAAAAAGACAAAAAAAAAAAAAAATTTAAAGCACTCAAAATGGTTTAGGGTTGAGTAAAATCTGAAAGTTGCTATAATGTTTACTTAATATCTTTTTGAAATATTAGGTTAAAAGGAATACAGCTTTTTTCGTCATATAATAATACCTTTGATAATAAAGACATTCCATTGCTAATAGTATAACATGATGATTTATTAATCTTTGATACCTTATTGGAGGACAAACTTGTTTGCAATAATATGGTGATTGTTACAGATTTTTAAAAGTTTGCTTTTATAGGTATGGGATAGTTATGGCCGTCCATTGTACAGTTCACAACCTCATGAACATCCTATAACCTCAGTTGCTTGGGCTCCTGATGGAGAATTATTTGCTGTTGGATCATTTCATACTTTACGCCTGTGTGATAAAACTGGGGTAAGTTGTAATGGTGATCAGTCACATATATGGCATCATAAGTGTGATAAGTATCATGCACATGTTTCCTGTCTTTGGAAAACATTCTCAGTGACTGCATTTGACTGAGTCTTTCTCATTTATCTTCAATATGCTGGTTCCATCCATTTCATATTAGTGGGGCCAAAGAAACTATTAAGATTTGAAGAATGAACATCTACTGTACTATTTCTTTCTGGAAATACTTACTTTGAACCTGATTATGAAGCCTGTAAAGTGTTGAAATTATGCACGTTCAATAGGGAGAATCTAGTTTTAAATTTGTTTTTACTATGTTTCATACAAAATTTGAGTTGTATATTTCTTCTAAGAAATTAATAGTAAATTTTTAAAAAATTCATTTTAATACCAGAGGACATATTTGTCTTTAAGAATTCATATCTGAGGGGCTGAGGCTCTGGCATAAGCGCCTGCCTTGCAAGCAGGCAGTTGTGAGTTCGATCCTCGGTACCGATAAAAAAAAAAAAAAAAAAGAAAAAGACAAAAAAAAAAAAAAAAAGAGAGAATTCATATCTGAATATATGTGGGAATTTCCTCCTCCTGAGACTATGCCTTCTGTCATACAAATTCTGTTTAGAACCTAGGAAACAGCCATGCTTAGTGTCATTTTGTCCATTGTTCTTCAAGAAAGAGTTCTTCCATTGAAGTGGCTCCCAAACAGCATCAGTGTGTAGCAGAAAGAGTTTGAATGGGTGTTGTTTAACTGTCACTATAACAGAATACCTGAGTTAGTCAGCTTATAAATTGAAAAGACTTACCTTACCTACAGTTTGGAAGGTTCCAATCCATGATTGCTCGGCCCCATGTTTGGGGCCAGTGTTTGGGCCAGTGGCGAGGCAGCACAGCATAGGGAGAACATGGGGCAGAGCTGCTCATCTCTTCAGCCAGAAAGCAAAAGAGAAAGCAAGTGGGCCAGGGTCCTACAGTTCTCCTCAAGGGCACACTCCCAGTGACATGAGGGCCTCTTGCACTTTAACCTTCTAAAGGTTCTACCACCTCCCAGGAGTACAGTTCTGGAACCAAGGCTTTAACAGATGGGCTTCTGGGAAAACTTTTAAGATCCAAACTGTAGCAGTGAGGCTACTCCATATTATTCCCAACTAGGAGGAAATCACATAATTATTCTATTGCCTATTTTCTTCAAATATAAAATAAGAGCTTGGAATTTTTAGAGCTTGATAAATAATTTATTACTTTTCAGGTTACTTACTTTCTATCACATAAAGTTTCAGCTGTCTGCTTGGCTTTAGAAGCTCTCTGAAATCTGGTGTCATAAAATTTACTCAATCTCTTCCTCTATAACTCTCTGATTTGTATGTGTACTCAAATTAGGTTAAACACTGGGTCAGGAACCTTTCCTGCCCTGTGCTAATATCCTCATTCGTTACCTCTTTTCACATAACACTCTCACCTGTAAGACATAGTGAGTCCTAATGTTAGCTTACATTTGACATCGTTGCATTGTATCATCCATAGATGACTTAAAAGTTTATCTCATTTTATTTCTGTTACCAAGATCTCTTTTTTCTCACTTACAGCGTTTTTTTCAGTTACATTATTTTATCACTTAAAGACCTGTTGTTTTGTGTTTTGTTTTGTTTTTGGAGTTAAGAATCTTTTGCTTCAGGTTTTTTATCAATAAATTTTGTCAGTCTAATTTTTACCATGTATTATGCTCTTATATTATTCTTAATGCTAAAGTTCATAGGATCTTACAGCATAAACATTTTTATTATCTGCAAAATATATTAGATATTCTAATTTATCAATAAGACAATTTAAGCATAATTTTAATTTGTTGTTTTGATGAAAATATTTTAAAATTTTTAAGTGGGGATTGATCTGAATATTTGAATTAAAGATTTACCTCATTAGGTACTGTTATCTTTACCTCTTTAGACACTGTAAATCTGGAAAAGTAAACTGAATAGACTGACTTTTAATGATTTTTAGACATTTGAGACTAACATTTTATTTATTTATTTTTGAGACTAACATTTTAAATACATATTTTTTTTGTTCAAGAGGCATTAAATATATATAACTCACCAGAGAATGTCCTAGAACCGGGGGCTCGAAATAGGAAAAAAATGTAGACTTTCACCACAATTGTTAACAGGCGAATCAGATGAAAAAATTTATTATAGAATGGTGTGATGAGTGCTTATGAGTTTGTTAAGCACTGGGAGAGCCATACTATGTCTGTGGGACACTAATTAGAAAGCTGAGGCTAGGTATCTTAATAATTTTTTGATGAGACAAGGTTAGGGGAAAAGAGTTGCATGTAAAAGGAATCTCTTGTGCCTTCAAGTGTAAGAGAGTATGGTGCTTTTTGTGCAGTATAAATAAGATGCATTGGAGAATGCCAGGAAGATGATATAGAATAGATACTTTTATCCAACCATACTAATAACCATGGTCTTTAGATTGCACTTGAAGGGATACTTGGATAAAACATGTGAGATGTCTGATAGTCTCTCTGAGTTCTGAAAGGAGCAATGTGTACCCTAATGTGAAAAAAATAATTTGGAGATGAAGTAATAAACCATAGTTTAATTGAAAAGATTGTTTTGTTTTGGTGCCTGGGATTGATACTGAATTCTGTATCACTGAACTATACTCCCAACCCTGAAAAGATTAAAGTTTTTAAAATCTTTTATAATTTATTCTTCCTATTCTTAGCATCTATATTTAAAATTACTTTCCTGTTACTTCTGCCATTTTGCTATAAGGAAAAATTTATATCATATGAATAATATGTGTGGTAATATTGCTTTTTGGTTTTCTAAATTGATTCAGAGTAACTAGTTGTAAATACTATTTAAGCACTTTTTACCCCTTTTTGAGACAGTCTTATTCAGTCATTCAGGCTGGTCTTTAACTCACTGTGTAGCCTAGGCTAGCCTCAACAATGGCAACCCCAAGTGCTGGGATTATGGGTATGTACCACTATGCCCAGTTTGAGCACTTTAATTCATTAAATTATAAAAAAATCTTTCTTTCATTTTTTGATTGCCTTAGTTTATTAAAAATATTTGATATTTTTTCTTGCTATGTTTTTTCATTTTTCAGGGTTTTTATGATAATCTGCTTTTATTCAGTTATCTTTTTATTTAATAAATTTCTATTTATCTTTTTTTTAAATTGGTACTGGGGATTGAACTCACAACCACCTGCTTGCAAGGTAGGTGCTCATGCCGCTGAGCTAAATCCCCAGCCCCTTAATGAATTTCTTGATTATACTAGGTTTTATCCCTAGAACAGTTGCAAGAAATAATGTATTTATTTCATATACACATATATATTTATTTTTTCAAACCTTTCTGAAAAATAGTTTGCAATTATGCATCAAATGCCTAAGAAATACATATGTACATTAGCCTAGAAATTCCAGTTCTGGGAATTTATCTAAGGAAAAAAATAGAATGAAGAATGTCTAGTGAAGCATTATGTGTATTTAATAAAAAAAAAGATTCAAAATCTCCAAAAGAACATTATTTAATTGTTGTGTAAAACTGTTATAATGAATTTTTATTTAGTTATCAAAATATCATAATATACTTTTATAATGCCATCAAGATATTTTTGAGATAAAATGTCTAATCATAGGATGCTGTAATTGTAATTGTAATTTGTAAGTCTGAATAAAAGGTAGTCTGACAGCCTAAAACAGATTTTATCAGCACTGTAGTTATCTCTGGAGTTTGGGGTTATAGGTTAGTTTTCTGTTTTACCTACTTGCATTTCCTAAAATTTTCAAACCAGGGAAGATGGCAGATTAATAGGTAGCGAGGTAGAGAGCCTCTTTGAGAAAAACAACTCAGACACTAGAATTTAACACCATGGAGAAGAACAGAAAAAAGAAGAGGGATTCTCATGACCTAGGAAGAAATTGAGGAAAAAGAAAAAAAAGAAAAAAAAAAAAAGCAGAAAAAACGTGGATGAAAAGCTGGAATCAATCACACACACTCTCACTGGAGCCGGTCCCACACTATGCTGGGTACACCTTGGAGGCAGACAATTTGCAATAGTACTGAAATTGGGAATGGTGAGTCCAAGACCCTTGGTGGGAGGATGTAGTGCAGGAGAGAGCGGAATCAACATGGAGAGCTGCATTAACACGTGGTGAGTGCTAGGAATTTGGTCTCATGGAGGGGGTGACTGCCTGGATGACATATTGGACAGGCCTGCACCTGGAACTGCAGTGGCATCAGTTGGCCACTCCTGGCCCAAAGAGGACTGAAGTGATCGGCTTGGGCTGGATCACACCCCTGGTCAGGACCCAATAGCCAGGGACAAAACTGTCCCGAACCTGTGACATACTCACAGCGTAGACTAATGTGCTGAAGGTACTCGCCAGCTGACTGGCTCAGAGGAGAGGGGCCAGCCCACATCGTCCCTGCATGCACCTCACAGATCAACAGTAAACTGGAGAGGGTAGCAATCCCCTAGGCCAGGATGCTTCAGAAAAACTGTAAGCAATATGGAAAGGGCCTGAGACCTCCACCATACACCTATCTGAAAGAAATCATAAACATGACAAGAGACAGAAACAAGAAGAAGCCTCCAACTGCTGACCCAGGGAAAATAAGTCCAGGAGAGGTAAATACAGAAGAGATTGAGGGCAGCAAACATGTAATATCGGACACAGTATTAGCGGACATACAGAAATACCTTCGTGACTTAAAACTGAAATACTAATTCAAATGAGGCAAGTTACAAAAAGATTAATAAAAGAAATGCTAAGCACTTTTCAAGAAGTCACAGATGGAAGAATGGAGGAACCCAGAAAAAGGAGAGAAACCTTTGATGAAGAATATAAACAAAATCTAGAATAGATTTGTGATCTATTCTATCTTTGGATCATGTGAAACAGATCCAAAGAGATTACCAGGAAATTAAAAACTCCATTGAAAGCTGGCAAAATTCCTTGACAGAAACTAAAGTTAGACTTTCAAAAC